ATTCTTGACAAATTATAATGATCTTTTAAAACAATTGACACTTATTCAACTAAGAAAGATCACACTATCCGGTTAAAATCCACAAAAACCAACAAATAAGCAAGGTTTCTAAAAAACTAATGCATCAATCAATACAAAGCAAGATAATGGAGAGAACAGATACAAATATTCAAGCAAGAATCTCACTACAAGGAAAATGATAAATTGCGACAGATAAATTGCGACGGTTATCTAGAAACCGTCGTCGCTTTGATATTGCGACCCTTCATACGACAATTTTTCAAAACCGTCGCAAAATTGTTCAACATTGCGACGGTTTATCATAAACCGTCGCAAAATTTGTTGAAGATTGCGACAGTTAATCATAAACCGTCATAATTTTTTTTATGTATTACTAATGGTAGCAAGTTTTATTTCATTGTTGGTCAAACTGGAGTGAACCACTTACTACCAAATTAACACTATATAGTCCAGGATGAAACGACATGATATTTTCCCTTGAATTCATTGACTGATGTACCCTAACAACATGTTCTTGAAGAAGTACAACCTGAAGTAAAGGAAGAGGATACACAAGACCAACATTTCACCACACAACCACATGTACAGGTAGATAATGCTGATATCCTATGGTCTTGTATATTACCACTGTTTTTTAGAGGGTTTTATCCCATTTTCTCTGTAAAGAGACGAATATAGAGGTATGTGTACAGGGTCGTCTCTTCTTTCCTTGTAAACCCCCTCCCCCCTACTTTCCCTCTTTTTTTGTCTTGTTCTGCCTGCCCTTGTGCAGAGGAACACTTTGTTTTTGTTCTGCTAGATTAGTGAATGTATTATTAGTCTGTTAGATAACTGGGATAGGAATCATTTTTATGAGCAAAAGCCAATTCAAAGTTTTGTGAATACAAGATTTCTGATGTATGCATCTGCCATTGGTGTCTGCAAATATTTTGATATTACTAGTTTGTAACCATTTAAGTCTCTTAAATGGTACATGTCAGAGGTTATCTTATTGTTTGTGTATCAAGAAACACTACACTTCTTTAGTGAAAAAACAGGTAACTACTTGGAGCCATTATGAGGGCTGGAGATGTGAAATCATTATGGGTTATTTGTTTAGTCCTTTCAGAAGGAGCCAGTAGACTGCAACTTTTTCGAGTTTATTTTTCGGGTCTCAGTGGAGCTGATGCTTTGTATTTCTTTATTCTTGGGGGGTTGGGTTGTGTTCAGCCCTGATGAAAAACTTCATTTTATTTTTGGCTAAAAATCTATTTTGGTCCCTTATAATAATTATTTGTTTTAATTTAGTCTCACTTTTATTTTTGATCTCAATTTAGTCCCTAATAAATTAATTGGTTGCAATGTTAGACTTCCGTCCAAATTATTTAAATAGAGTTAACTGTTAAATTTTAAACATAATTTATATATTCAAATATTTTTATTTACTTCTATGTATAATTTATTTAATTTTTGGTAATATATAATAAATATTTAATCTCTGCATTACACAGGCTAAAATACCAATAAACTTATTATTTATTTAAAAATAGTTACAAATTAGAAGATTAATTAAAATTATTATACTAATCTTGAAAAATATTTTAAATTCTAGTAAATATTATAATATAGAAAATATTAATTTAATTCAAAGTAAAGATAATACCAACATAATTAATACATCACTAAAAAAAATTATACTTAAAAATTCAAATTCATACGTTGCCTTTAAAATATTAAAGGTACTTGTAACTGTTGTTATTACTAAACGATTATAAAATTAAAATTACTCAAACCTTATATGAAATTGATTATATTAAAAATTAGGTTGAACAAATTTATCATTTCTTATATTAAGAGTAAAATACTAGAAATAGCTAAAAGAAACTAAATTTCAATAACTTTTAGCCCATAAGAAAAAATAAAATAAAAATTGATGAATCATACCAAGTTAAACTTCGAATATAAATTCTGTATAAGGCTGAAATTTCTAACAAGCCTAACCATCCACAACACCATTCTGTTCTTGCATAACCACACTAAAAGAAAATAGGCCACTGTACAATATCATCTTGTGCTATAAAAAATAAAAATTAAAAACCTATTTTGGTCCCTTATAATAATTATTTATTTCAATTTAGTCCCACTTTTATTTTGTCTCAATTTAGTCCCTAATAAATTAATTGGTTGCAATGTCAAACTTTCGTCCAAATTATTTAAACAGAGTTAACCGTTGACCACATGGATGTCACGTGAATGCTACGTAGATATATAGGTGGATGCCAAATTTCACTAATGCATCTAGAACCAGAACAACCCATTCTGAAACCAGAACGGCCCGTTCTGATTTCAAAACGGGCCGTTCTGGTTCCAGAATGTCAAACACAAACGGTCGATGATTATAGTTCACGGTTGTGAATTATGCAAGGAAAAAGACCCAAGGTACAAAACATTTCAAACACTTGATTTGATAATATTGTCAATGGGGATTGATAACTTCAATTGCTAAATAATTAGACTAACAATATATTATTAAGGACAATGCAGTGTATTACTAATGGTAGCAAGTTTTATTTCATTGTTGGTCAAACTGGAGTGAACCACTTACTACCAAATTAACACTATATAGTCCAGGATGAAACGACATGATATTTTCCCTTGAATTCATTGACTGATGTACCCTAACAACATGTTCTTGAAGAAGTACAACCTGAAGTAAAGGAAGAGGATACACAAGACCAACATTTCACCACACAACCACATGTACAGGTAGATAATGCTGATATCCTATCAGTCATCCAATGTTATATGGTAAATAAGATGTATTATTGACACCTTCAGCGTTATCTAGACGCAATGTTATCTTTGCGGCAGTTCTAACCGTCGCAATGTAAGTTATATAACCATCGCAAAATCGTCATTTTTCTTGTAGTGTCTATTTGGCTCACTTTTCTCAAAAGCTATGCCTAGTCTTCTATATTCAGCCAACATTACAAGTCATCCACTATAAGAAAAAATATAATTATAGACCAAGTAAGTTGATCACGCCTAAATCATAGGCATTTCCTTAATTCCTACAAAAACCCTTAACTTAATGTCTGATTTGGGAACCCTTTCCTAACCTATAGACTCAGAAAAACCTATCTTGAGATACACTCTCTTCACATGGAATTCAAGACCCTAAATCTAAAACATCTACTTGATTCCTTAAAAGAAATACAAAGAACGAACTACCTTGAGAAGTGAAGCTTCTCTTTGATCTTACACATTTATTAACATTAAAGAACTTTTTCTTGGTTTATGAAAGCTTCAAACCATTTCCATGATGAATTCTCTCTTTTCAAAACTTGACTCTCACATGTTTTTCTTTCGTGTAGTCTCAAGATGAAAACATATTTTTCTCTCCAAGAACACTCACATGCATTGAAGGTATTTGAACTCATTATGAAAATGTCAGGTGTTTGAGTTTATAAAAAAAATATATATAATTTTGATCTAATTAATTGAATTAATGATGTAATCGATTATATTGATCATAGTTACAATCAGAATTTTTCAAAAAGTAGAACTTTTTGCAATTTCATGAACTTATGTAATCGATTACAAAATATTTTGTAATCAATTGTATATGTAACTTGGTCAAATAGTTAAAAACTTGACTCATTTTTGAAAACTTTTGATCAGTGACATATATATAACTTATGTCATAAAACACCAACTTTCTTATGTAATCAATTAAATTGCAATATAATTAGTTGCATTAGAGTGATTTGATTTTCTAAAAAGTCATGCAATCAATTACTTTGTCTATTTAATCAATTACATAAGAACATTTTAGACTTGTGAGAAAATCAAGTTCTTGTGTAATCGATTACAATATTTTTGCAATCGAGTACTTCAAAAACTTTTGTTCATAAAACTTTAAAACTCTAATCACAATTCAAACTTTGACTTGGTTGTTTTTAGCTTACAAAAATTTGTTCATTTTAGTTCTTTTAATTCTTGATTTAGAAACCCTAAGATTAGATTATTAACTTTAATTCTTGCTAATATTTTTCAAAAGGTCTTCTCATGTTAATAGAACTCTTATAATTATTTTATAAAAACGTATTTTATTAGTTAAAAACTTCATTTATTATTTTATTTTATAAAAAAACTTGAAGTACATTACAGCTGAAAACCAAATCAAATCCTCGTCATATGAGGGAAAACCATCGGTTCAAGGAATCTTCAGCTTCTCAAATAAGTCATAAAACATGATGCCTGTCGAGCTTCCAATATTATCTACTAACAACATGTGAAACTCCTTGTTTGCCATAAAAGCATAAATCCATAACGGATCATCGTGACCTAGCAAGACACCCTCCACTAGCAAAACCACTAGCTATAATATATATGATTTCGGGAATTTACTTTATGGATGTTCTTTGAATTGTTTTAGAAGAGAAATACGTGATCAATAATTAAATCACATAACAAGAAATAATTAACCAGTTCTATATGATTCGTTAACTCTTTTATTTTGGTAATTTTTTATTTGTTAACTTTAATTACTTTTTCTTCGTACACTTGTTTACAAACTTAAAATATGCCTTTGAGAAATAGGAATCATCTACAATTCAAATGGAATCTGAAATCCCTCACGTACGTTTAAAGCTTTCCTTTCCATTATGGTATAGTTTTGGAGTAAATGGGTGTTTTGATTGAAAACTTCTGTATTTGACAATACATATAATAGATTATGTTGGGAAAAATAAATCTGCTCTTCAGAAATTTGGAAAATCATCTTCAAGTTTATAATGTATTTAAAATCTAAATCTTTTTCACTCAATCAATGGATCAACCATTAATTATAGGAAGTCACCAAAAATTTAGCATTATGAAAGCAACCAAAACATCTACAACATTTATTGGCCGTCTTGCATAAAATAGCAAACTTTTAAAACAAATTGCAACATGAATTCAGATAAGTAGAATAGTAAATAACATATTGGAACTTGATTTCAACAAGGAATAACCAAGCTTTCTGTGAAAACCTTGGGTTCGAAATGGACCATATTTCTGTGATTGGGAATTGGAAAACGCCTCAATCTATGATTCCTCGGGTTATACAGAATTGCTACCCATTCAAGGCCACGAACAGATGACAGTATCAAGACATCTTCATTTTTAGACATGTGCAATGGTATCATTGAATGAATTGGCGTAGGATCAATTTGAAGATTGAAATAACTAACATTCACTAACTGAATCCAAGACATGTTATCTCGAAATTCTTTCATTTGCCATATGATAAAATGAGTGTTGCAATCGTGCCAAACACAAAGGGTGTCCCTCAAAACACCAAGAGTTGGCTTAGTAGGGCCAAGACCATCAGGCAAAAACAGTGGCCTGCATGTCTCCTTTCCTAGATCAAGCGACACAATTACCAAATCAGCTTCAATAACAACCTCCTCATAAGTAAAGTAATGAACCATCCCAATCCAATTAAGAGTTCCTTTTACATACACTCCATCATCTATACCATGCTCTATATAATTAAGATTTGGAAAACTTTCAAGGTCTCTCCAGCAACTATCACCTGTGCTATAAACTTTTGCCACCACTTCTAGTGTGTCCTCCAAACTATCAACACCCAAAAGCAATGCTACCACCTTGTAAGTGTCACTTAAATTATCATGGCCAAACCCGAATCTAATAGATTCAAGCTCAAAACCCTCACCAAAGGAAATAGGTGGTGACTTTTGAGATCTTAACCTCATTGCAATGTTCCACAAATAGACCCCACATTGTTCAATATTCTCAAGAACCACACAAACCAACCCATTGCAGGAACCTACGACAGAGTGCTTGACACACATAACGTGCTGACAAACATCTCTAGAGTTGTGGTCATGCAAGTCATGGAACTGAGATTTTGGTATTATTTGGAGACGAGTCAAGTCGTCATTAGTGGCAGACCTGTGGAGGTGCAATTTGACGAAAGAAGGATTTGATATTAACATGTTCCATGATTTGCACACTGCTCTGAAGCGTAAAAGAGATTTCGCAGGAGCCCATGACAAGATTTCTGTTACAATTTCCTCACTCACAAATTGCTTCTTTGACCCCATGTTGTTGTGCTTCTGCCTTTAGTTGCATGATTTTGGTACGAGCAGATCTACTGTTATAACATCACTGTACTGAAGGGTCATATATAAAATATTACTTCCTCTCTAATACAAATACAAATAAATATATTTCTTAAAAAGTGTTTATAAGTAAATAAATATAGACATATTATATTCGTATTTGAGAATTTAATTTATTAAATGAAATCACTATAGTCTTTAATATTTTTTCTTTTAAAAAATATTTTTTTTTATCTTTTAACCTGAATTAGTTATATAACTTAAAATTCATTTTTGACTCATATATACACATATATATATATATACCTAAATATTTATAAATCTGAAAATTAAATCTCTTTTTATTTTTTACCTATATTAAAATATATTTGAAAATTCAATTTTTAAGAGTGCTTGTGAACTTCTAAATCGTGAACCGTCCTTATCCATGCGATGACTCTTTGACCAGAGAAACATTTGATTTCAAATATGCCTGATTTCACACGCACGCAAATACACATATATAGACAAATATTAATTTTTTATTAGAAAAATAAAAATACTAAATAAGTATAATTCTAATTATTTGTCCAATTATATATATATATATATATATATATGTATTTTTAAATTTTACCTGAAATATTTATATATTTGAAGATTCAGTATTATATATATATATATATATTCTTTTTATAAGACAACCATCACAGTGTAAATTTCAAAATCTTGGCCCTTTAGGAAAAGTTTCAAAATTTTTTAATAAGGTGTACTATTTTTTATCTTACTAAATTTTTTAAAAGAAATTAGTAGTTGACTTTAATCTTAAATGTGATCGTATCTTACGCTAATCTATTTTTTTTTTCCAAAAAAGTCATGATAGTTGAAATTAAAAAATGTGTTAATGTAACATATAGTTAATAAAGAATTTTAATCAAACTAATCAGTTAAATTAAATTTTAAAATAAATGACTAATTTTTATTTTCCCTCTAATATAATATGGTTTAAAGATTAGAAGTTGATTTGTGTAACTTAATAAAGTTTAGACAATGGCTAATATGTATGTTAAAACTCTAATTTGGTCTCTTATAATATTAAAAAAATTCAATTTAGTCTTACTTTAATTTTTGGTTTCAATTTAGTCCCAATTTATTTAAAATACTTCAATGTGGGACTTCCGTCCAAATTTTACAAACGGTGTTAAAGGTTTGTGAGAGTCACGGTCGTGATTCCAAATCACAACCGTGATTCTCACGCGTGGTGTTAAATATCGTTCTTCATTCTCTATTGACCACCGACGTCGAAAATCACCGCACGTTCACCTCCACCTTTTCATACACCTCCCTCCGCCCAGTTATCATCGACCTATTCCTCTCCTCGCCTCGTGCACACGACTTCTTAGAGCGCGCTCCACCCATTGTCATTCTAGAAGCTCCAACCTGCGCCAACGCACATGAGAATCTCGACAGAAAACCCTAAATCCTGAGATGCACTACGAGGTGGAGAGGCGTCTCCCTTCCCAGAACGTCATGACGGTCGATGAGCGTGGATACCTGGTCAGACTTGAGCTCTGCTGCGAGCGATTCAACCTCGGTGTTGACCTTGCCGGGCCTAGCGAGGCGAGGGATGGTGGAAACGAGGTGGCGTAGTGCGGCATGGTCGCACCTGGCCACTACGACGTGTGATTTAATAGCAAGCGTAAGAATCACAACCGTGATTTGGAATCACGGGCGTGATTCTCACGAACCTTTAACGTTGTTTGTGAAATTTGGACAGAATTCTCACATTAAAATATTTTAAATAAATTGGGACTAAATTAAAACCAAAAGTTAAAGTAGAATCAAATTATAATTTTTTAATATTATAAGGGACCAAATTAGGGTTTTAGCCTTAATATGTATATTTAGTTTTACGAATAAAAATTAAAATAATATAATTTTAATTTGATTATATAGTTTAATTAAAATCAAGTATTAAAATAATTTTCTAGAATAATTATATGATATTTAATCATAAAATAGGTATTCTAATAATGTGTCTGTATTTTAATTTTTTTGTTATTATATTATTTCTTTATAAATATTATGATACTTGGAGCTCTATCATATATAATATTATATATGAATCTCTTTTTGGTGAGACTAAGATATTGTGGTTGTATTGGTGTCAAAAATTAGACCAAAGATATCTTTGCAATGAGATGAATAGACCTTAAAAATTACTAGCACTCACAGATATTGATGCCATAAATAACTTTGTCATGTAAGGCAAAGACCTTAGAAAGGTAATTGATGGAATCTACCAAAGTCTACACTTGATAGAATTTGAGGAATAAAGAAGATAGATTCATTTGCATAACAAGGTCCATGAAGATATATCATATAGTTTTATTTTTCCATATTGATGAAGACTTGAGTCCAATTTGAAGATAACATGACAAGTTCAAATGCACATGATCAAGAAGAAGCATTGATGGGTTAGAGTTTAATTAGTTTTTGGGTTAAATAGTTGCTTAAGCCCATTTTTTTAATTATAAATGTGATTTTTGTATTTCCTTTTATTCAAATAACTCATATGTCTTTTTAGATTGTTTATGAAAGATTTTAGTACTTTTAGGTTTCCTAAATGATAATTAGTGGGATAGTGGGGAGTCAATTCTAGTGGAAAGTATTCGTGGGAATTTATTTCTAAGTGGAGTCTTAGTGAAAATTTATGTCTCGTTGCCTATCTAAGGTTATAAATATGAATCTTTTGTAAGATTTTAGCAGAGAATGAATTAATGAAAATTTGGATAATTTTTTTTCAATTGAGAGGATTTGTCTCTCTCTAGGTTTTTAGGAACTACTTTTAACTTTTATCCTTGAATTTCCTAATTCAAAGTAATGAATCTTCCTCAACTTATCAATCTTTAGAGGGATTGTGACGTTATTCTTCTATTTCTTACCTCCATTCATATTTCATTTTTAGTTCCTTTATTTTCGCAAAAAGAATATCCAAAGAACTTCATGATTTGGGATGTCAGAATTTTGATCAAATAAGGTTCACACCAATACTTGTACTAAGAGAACTTAAGAATAAAGGAACCTCTACCTAGAAGTACTTATGATATGAGTAAGTACTCTTGTTAAGTACTATAGGTGTAGATGTATATGTTGACATAACATTCTTCATGAGAAGCCAAATCCTAGTAAGCTAAGGAATGGAATAGGGGACATAATTGTTAAGGTTTTGGGTGTTAAAATAGATGACTAAATCAAGAAAGGGTGAATTAATTTGTTTCAAAACTTTTTCACCCAATATAGGGATCTTTTAAAACATTGTAACCATATCCACTAAAAATATTTTCAATCAATATTGATCCTTATAACCAAAACAATTATTGATCACAAAGGTTCCTTATTTTAATTTTTGCACTTAAAGTCCAAGGAGGAATGTGAGCTTTCCATCATTGGCATTTCAAACCCCCTGCATTAAAGTAGCAAATTCCTTACACAAGGAATTGTTAGTAGTACCAAATATAATATCAGCATCATATATTTGCACAAGCATAATATATGTATTGGTTTTCTTAATAAATAATGTTTTTATCAACTTTACCCTTTTTAAAACTCAAATCAAGTAAGAATTTACTTAACATCTCATACCAAAACTTTGTGACTTGTTTAACACCATACGATGCTTTCTCCAATTTGTAGACATGATTCAAATACTTAGGATCTAAGAATTTGTGAGGTTGAGTGTAACACTAAATGTTAAAGAAACACATAGAAGGGGATTTGAATGTGTTTATGTGTAGGTTTTAAAACTTTTTTTCAAATGAATAATAAAATTTTGACTTGAAAAAGAGAATGATTTTATTATTATCATTCATGTATATTACATTTTCGTTATACCTATTTGTAATAATCTAATCTTCCAAACTAAGGAAATAAGGAAAAAAATATGCTGAAAAATAAATAGAAGATTCTACAAATATTTTTTCTAATTAGGAAGATTTTTCTCTAATAACAACACTCACCCTCAAGTTGGCAAATGGATATCAACCATTCCCAACTTGCCTACAAGATCTTAAAATCTACCTTGAGGGAGCCCTTTTGTAAAAATATCTATTATCTGAAGTTCTATAGGAACATGAGTTGTAATCACAAAGCCTATGTCTAGATTATTTTTGATGAAGTGTTTGTCAATCTCAATGTGTTTGGTCCTATCACGTTGTACTGGATTATGGGCAATGCTCATGGCAGACTTATTGCCATAATACAATTGCACGAGGTTATCCACCTTGACCTTAAGGTCATCCAAAATGATTTTCATCCATAGTCCTTCACACATTCCTTGAGCAAGGGTTCGAAATTCAGTTTCTACCCTAGAATAAGATACTCTATCTTGCTTTTTGCTCCTCTACGTTACCAGACCATCTCTAAGAAACATACAATACCTAGAAGTAGATTTTCTGTCAATGATAGAACCTACATAGTCAGCATCAGTATATATTTTCATAGTCAACATGTCTTCCCTTTTAAACAATAGCCCCTTTCTTGGACTTGACTTCAAGTACTGGAGAATTTTGTCAACTACTTGCATGTGTCTCTCTCTTGGGACATGCATAAACTGACTCACTACATTAACTGCATAAGCAATATCTGGTCTTGTGTGTGATAGATAAATCAATTTTCCTACCAATCTTTGATATTGGGCCTTCTCTACAAGAGTATACTTTCTTCAATTCCAATTCTATGATTTTGTTCTATAGGAACTATTGAGATTCTACATCCTAGCTTTCCTGTTTCTTTAAGGAGATCAAGTACATATTTTCTTTGGGAGATGAAAATTTCGTTCTTGGAGTAAGCAACCTCTATTCCAAGAAAATACTTGAGTTTTCCTAGGTCTTTCAGTTCAAATTGGGCTACTAATTTTTCTTTTAATGCCAATTTTTATGTTTCATCGTCTCTTGTAATAATAATATCATCCACATAGACAAGCAGTAGAGTGAGTTTACCTGTAGAAAAGTGTTTTATGAATAGAGTATGATCTCCTTGGCTTTGTTTGTATCCTAATTGCTTTTGTAAATCTTCCAAACCATGCTCTAGGGGATTTCTTAAGACCATATAATGCTTTCTTTAGGAGACATACCTTGTTTCTTACATTTATCTCTTCAAAACCTGGGTGAATCTTCATGTACACTTCCTCTTCCAAATCTCCATGAAGAAAGACATTCTTCACATCCAATTGGTGTAAGTCCCAAAATGAGCAGCCAAAGCGAGAACAACTTGAACTGTACTTATCTTTGCCACTAGAGCAAATGTCTCCTCATAGTTAATCCCATAAGTTTGGGTGTAGCCCTTTTCCACCAATCTAGCTTTATATCTTTCTATTGTCCCATCTACCTTATGTTTGACGGTGAATATCCATCTACACCCTACTGCCTTCTTGTCTTTTGTCTTATCAACAATCTCCCAAGTTGAATTTCTTTCTAATGCATTCATCTCTTTTTTCATGGCTTGAGTCCAATGTTCAATTTTCATAGCCCCTTGGATTGAGGTAAGAATTTATGTGGCATCAATGGCAAGAAGAGATGAATATGGTAATGATAAGAAGGAGAGCTCCTCCACTTCAAGTGCTTTCTCCCCTAAAGTGGTGGACTGACATAAAAGGATTGTGTTTCATGGAAGGTGACATCCATGGTTAAAATAAATGACGAATCTGAGAATGATACATTTGTACCCTTTTTTATTAGAAGGACACCCAATAATTAAAGACACATTTAAGAGCTTTGGGGTCTAATTTACTATGATTAGGATGATGAGAATGAACAAAAATAGTACATCCAAAGACTCGACTAGGTAGACTCGATACTAAAGGGGATGAGGGAACAAAAGACAATAGATACTCTATAGGACTAATGCCATATAAGATACGGGTGGATAACCTGTTGATGAGATACGTGGTAGTTAACACAGCTTCTCCCTAGTAATTTTTTGGAACAAACCTTTGAAAAAGAAGAGCTTTAGTTACTTCAAGAAGATGACGATTCTTTCTTTCTACAAATTAACCCATTTTGTTGACGGGTGTTTACATATCTTAGTTCATGAACAATTCCATTATGAGACAAAAAATTGAGAAATTCATGATTCATATATTCATTACCATTATCAGACCTGATTCGTTTGATATTTTTTCCAAATTGATTTTGGCCAAGACAAAAAAAATTAACAAAGATTTGGAAAACTTCTTATTCATTTTTCATAAGGTATGTCCACGTGACACGAGTACAATCGTCAATAAAGGTAACGAACCATTTGCCTCCAGAAATAGATTCTACGCCAGGTCCCCAGACATCAGAGTGAATTAAATCAAATGGAAAAGTACTCTTTTTATTACTAATATGCCTAAAATCTCAAAAACATTCATAACAACATATATCTACCTGACACATAGAGTTATATTCATCCAAATGATTTCTAACCTATCTCAAAAGAAAGCTAAAAAAAAAATAAGCTACAACTTTTATTAAAACATAAGATTCCCAAAAGATCATTTTCTTAGCTAAAAGTTCAAAAAAAATCACCACAAATGTATTCCGCTCTTACAACTAAACTTCTGGTCACCAAAGCAATTATAACTAAAGTTCTAGACCTCTGTTTTATGTTATTCCAGTTTCATTGGAAAGATAATATCCAAAGCCACAACTTTCATGAAGACCACAACATCTAATTCTGTCAATACGATACTCATACTGGCACAACAAAACTGTAGTGAAAATATCTTCTACACCAAACAACAATAGTGTATGCCACAAACTACCTCGACTCTTTCCAAACTCACACCTCAATTTCTCATTCAAGTCTCTCACTACTATCCTCAATGAAAACAACTCACATGCTACCTAAACCATAAATAGTTAACATGCCAGTACTAACACTCAAGGGAATTACCGTCATTTCAATCTCTCACCAAGGACATAGTCTGAATCCGAATAACCTATCAGACTTAGTGAGACTCCTTTTGGATACCATAAACCTACATTAGTTGTTCCTCTTAGATATTTAAGAATTCTTTTTACAGATTTCATGTGAGACTCTTTTAGATTTGCCTGAAATCTTGCACACAAGCACACAACAAACATTATATCAGGTCTACTAGCTGTCAAATATAAAAGTGATCCAATGATACCTCTATATTTTGAGTTGTCAACAACTATCCCTTTCTTCACAAACAATGTATTATCTACTTTACCTCTAACATAGTCATTCTCAATCAAAAATTTGCTCAGCCTATCATACCATGATCTTGAAGCTTGTTTCAAGCCATAGAGTGCCTTTTTAAGTTTGTACACATGATTAGGATACTTAAAATCAACAAAACCAGGTGGTTGCTCCACATACACTTCTTGTATTAAATCATTTAGAAAAGCACTTTTCACATCCATTTGGAGAAGCTTGAAATTCATTATTGAAGCATAAACAAGAAGTAATCTAATGGCTTCTATCCTTGCTACAGGGGCAAAAGTCTCATCATAATCAATTCCCTCTTCTTGATTATACCCCTTAGCCACTAACCTTGCCTTATTTCTTATAATGATTCCAGATTCATCAAGCTTATTCCTAAAAACCCATTTAGTTCCAATAATTGGATAATCACTTGGTAATGGCACTAAATCCCAAACTTCAT